CAGAGCTGCCCCAGGCAATGCTGTGCAAGTGTGGTCCGCTGCCCCTACTCCCGAATCTGGTCTCTGGCTGCCGTCTAACACTCTGCAGGGGGGCAAGCCCCACCCACCCCCACCTGGAGCAGGCCATGCCTCACTCCAACCAGCTGCACAGCTTCCCAGTAGGGCTGCTCCTAGTGAAGCTGCCCAAGGACTGCTTGGCTTCCCCCACCACACTTCTCATCCTCCTGCTGCACTAGCATGGGGAAGCAGCGGCAATGGCTATGGGGACAGGGATACAAGCCAAGCACCATACACCCAGCCAGGCAGGGGGAAAGCTGCATCCAAGTAGCTCCTGGCCCCAGCGCACAGTGCTCCAGCTCACATGTGGATGGAAGGTGGCCAGAAGTCAGAGCTAGAGCCCTGCTTGCTGGGGCAGAAGCCATTCGGCTGCAGTTTTCCCATCTGGCTGGGCATATGGTGCCTGGCACGCACCCCACAGCCACTGTTGCTTCCCCACGCTACCTGCTTCCTGAAGCAGCACAGGCAATGGAGGTGGGGGGAGCCAAGCAGTATCCAGGCAGGTGGGCCGAATCCAGCCCGCGGGCCATATTTTGCCCACTCCTGCCTTAGGCTGATGAGTTCAGTGGCGATTCAGATATCCCAGGAAGAAGGATGTAAAGGTTGTGAGCTCCTGATACTATTCATAAGGATATGCAGCAGATAAAAATATACGGCTGCAACAGATTTCAGCAGATTGATGCAAAGCTATCATTCAGCAGTATTACTAGTTATCCTGATCTGGTTAAAAACAGGTCATCCAGCCAAACAGAAAGAGCAAAAAAAAAAAAAAAAAGAATGATTACAGGGGAAGATTCCATTAGAAATAACAGACGCCAAAGTATCAGATACTTCCTTTCAGCTGCTGTAGGCATTCTTCACAGACCCTATTGCTAGTATCTCCAAGGACAGCGTGAACTTCTTACTCCCTCAATTCCATTTTATAAAGGGGAAGAGGACCTGCCTTTTGTGGTTAAAAAAAAAAAAAAAAAAAAAATCTTCCTAAAAGAGTCTATAGCAAACCTGACACAAGAAATATTTGTTCGGCTTTCCCCAAACACAAGCACTTTCCTTCCCTTAAGCTACCTATGCAACAGCTGTCAGCTATTTAAGATGCCAGTGGGCTATTTACACTACTTACCTCAAATTTGTCTGAGTTATGCATGCCTGGGATTGACTGCATTAGGTGGGACGTTGGATGGTTGCCAAAATCAGAGCTCACATAGCCAATACGAAGTCTGCTTTCACTAGTCTTCAAGTCCTTTGGATGTTCATATGGTGGCTTGTGAAGGACATTGATCTACCAATAAAATTCCCAAAACATTTAGTGACACAATAAACCTATAAATACCATCCAAAACACTAAAAACAGATCCCTTCCTGAATGTCTAAGGCCTTCAGATATGAGGTAAGACAAGTTGTGGGCATATTTAAACTACTGTGAAAATAAAACATTAAAATGTTTTAAATTTCAAAGCATGCAAGGCTCATAACAAAAAGGGGCAAACTCCCACATGCCACATAGCAGGACATCAGAATCAGCTGGCCAAGCAAAGAAAAGGCCTCTATTCAACTGAATGACTTCTGTGTGTCTGACTCTCAAAGTTTTGACAGCTGTCACTGGTTGGTTTCTGAACTTATGGAGGACTGCACACTTCACTGTTCATGTAGGCTGAACCAGGGTTGTCCAACTTTGAAGCAGCTGGAAGCTGCACACCCCCCAGGCCACATTACCAAGGGTCACACCAGCAGGAACCAAGGTCCCTGTAGCCCCTGTATTGCTTCCCTGTTGGTCCTCCCCATTGCACCATACATCCAGGTGTCGTCCCCCCTGCACTCCACATGCCCCAGCGAGCTCCTCTGCCACTCAGGCAGCCTGGGCTATGGCCTCCCTAACCCCTGCAAACTGTGCCATGCTGCACTGCCCCACCCCCTTGGCCAGGGGCAGGTAGCATGGAGCAGCCAGAGCAATAGGGGAAAGCAGTGGCTGGGTGGGAACCCAGGAGCTGAAACTTAACCCTCAGGGGCCACATGTGGCCCATAGGCTACCAGCACCAAACCACACAAAAGCTCCTACCTTGTCCAAACAGAGATTTCCATGTCTCTCAGCAATAGCCTTCCTAAAGCTGTGAGAAAGTGGGTATAGCATGCTGTGATGAGGGTGGACAGAAGGCAATCTGTTCTTCTCCAACTGATCAGCTACAATACTAACCAACTTTTTCATTCTTTCATCGTAGTCTGTCCAGTCACAGACAATCTAGAAAGGGAAAAGAAAGCCCTGGGTTGGCATAAATTTAAAAACAGAGATTTGTTCTATTCTGTTTACATAAAAGTAGGATGGATTCATGTTTCTCCATTACATGAAAATAAGGTATTTCACAAATTTCTATATTTAACTGCAAGCTTCAGTTACCCTAAAAACCGATAGGGTTGACTTTACTGCAGCTCAATGAAGCAAGCAAGCAAGCACTTCTCCAGAAGAGAAAATGATTGCAAAATTATCTTCCAATTTGAGATTTGTCTCCTCTTTAAAACAGTATGATACACTGGCTGTTTGACATGGACAGTCTTGGTACCTGCAATCAGGGTAACTCCTAAGAATTAGTTACAGCCCTTCTCCTCACCTGCAAACAGTGGGCCAAGTTGCAATATGCATCCGGAAAATCAGGCTTTAGTTTCAGAGCAGTGCGATAAGAAGCAATGGCCTCTGGTATATTCCCTGAATCCTACAAAAGTAGAGGAAGTAGTCAGCAGACAAAACCAGACTGAAGGATTGTTTGCCAAATGCATTACTGAATTATGAAGTGAACCATGAATACAGTTATACCTTATGAATGGAGGCTAGGTTGCTGTGTGCATCAGCAAAAGCAGGATTTATCTGGATGGCACGGGTGTAACACTGTAAGGCTCCCTGAACATCCTGCATCTCCTTCAAAGTATTTCCCATATTAGAATAGGCATCTGCAAATGTGGGGCTGATTCTAAAAATTGAGAAAACCACACACACAAGAGCTGTTACTCCAGGAAACCCCATCTGAGTAGCTGTCCAGTTACAAGGTTTGCATAACACTGCATAAACTACAAATTGCAGCACTAAGCCACTTCCTGTGCATCTATACAATGTTCCTGTCACCAGCCTTTGGGAACAATAGATGCAAACTCTTACCTAATAGCCTCTTTGTAGTGCATCAAAGCCTCCTGTAGCTTTCCTTGCTGCTGCAGAACACTTGCCAAGTTTGAATGGGCAGCAGCAAACTCTGGAAACACCTGTAAGACAACCAAGCAGACAGCTAAGTTTGCCCCTTAGATCTGCCAAAGACATCACATTACAAAATGTTTACTTTTTGCTCTCCTTGCCATATTATTCAGCTTTCACCAGAAGAAATCACCAGCTTTATCTGCTTCTTTACCGACAAGAATCATCTATGCCTTACAGACTCTGAGCTACATACCTGCATGCTATTCTGTATCGTCACATTCAAACATACCTCAAGAGCTTTGCGGTAAAGGCGGACAGCCTCCTCAATGTTCCCCTGTTCCCGCTTGATGTTTGCCAGGTTATTGAGGGAGTCTGCATGTGTGGGACACAGGCGAAGAGCTGTATTGTAACATTCCTCTGCTTCAGCCACCTTGAACAAAATTCCATTTTTATTTCTAAGAAATAGTGAGTAAATTAAGCAAGCAGGGGAAATACTGTTTGATATGGTTATGTTTGCGAAAACTCTGCTTGCGAGACCGTCATTATTACAAATGCCCATCTTTAAACAGCTCTGATTAGAAGATTTTGTTCCTATTATTTTCCTACAAGTTTATACACAAAGCAACCAAATATTAAAAAAGACAGCTTCCCACCTTATCAATGTTCACTATCACTTGGGGTCCTGAAACAAGTATCAGCAAAACTTTATATAAACAGCAGACCAAAATGAAATAGAAATACTTACACTGCCTTTCTCCTTCAGAGCATTGGCCAGATTACAGTATGCATCAGGAAAATGTGGCTGCAGCTCAATAGCTCGACGGTAGGTGTCTATTGCCAGATCGATCAGTCCCTGCTCATAATACACACAAGCCAAGTTGCCATGCACAACTGCATGATTAGGACTCAGACTCAGGGCTCGTAGATAAGCTGCTACAGCTCTGTAATGAGAGGTGCAGTTAACATTTATACGGCTGACATATGACAGCATACAATTACTCGTACCTTCATCTCAGTCATAAACGACATGCACAGAAGAGAATAGTGTTTGTGCCCTCTACTGCTTTTTAAGTGAAGGCATGAAAAAAGCCTCTTCAACTGTGCAAAATTAATAACTATTGGAGACAAGAAAGAGGAGAGTACAGAAGGCAAAAATGTAAAACTCAACTACGACAACAAGTTATTTATTCCAACTTTAAAACAGCAGTTCAAAACATGCAGGAGAAAGACACTGTTCCCTTTAGATAAGTGATGAGGAAACATCCAATCCCCACTTCCAACTGGACTCTTCAGGATGACCCTTTCTACTCACCCTAGATAAAAAGTTTATACTCAGCACCTGAGCACAAAATTTCCTGGGAAGCAGCATACATTAGAGCTACAAGTGCACCCAGCCTTGGCATTCACACTCCCAATCTGGGGGTAAGGACACAAAACACATTTGTTGATCACTCAGGCTCTGTTTACATGACAGCTCAGCTAGTTTCTCAGCAGAGTTAATCCCTCCAGGAGCCATGCCATACTGATGCAACTGCAGTGCTTCCTGTAACTATGCCGGGTTAGCTCAGGCACTTGACTGATGAGAGGCTGAGGGACCTGGGCCTATTGAACAGCAGCCTTCAATTCCCTGAAGGGCAGTTCCAAAGAGGATGGAGCCGGACTGTTTTCAGCGGTGGCAGGTGACAGAACAAGGAGCAATGGTCTCAAGTTGCAGCAAGAGGAGTTTTGGTTGGATATTAGGAAGAATTCTTACTTGGAGGGTGGGGAAGCACTGGAATGGGTTACCCTCCATCCTTGGAGGTTTTTAAGGCCCGGCTAGACAAAACCTTGGCTGGGATGATCTAGTTGGGATGGCCCTGCTTTGACATGGGGGTTAGACTAATTGACCTCCCAAGGTACCTTTCAACCCTCATTTTCTATGATTCTATCTCCACATGGCACTATACTGTCACAGAGACCTACCCTCAATGCTTCCTTCAGCAAGACTGACACAGTGGACAAAGGTGGCAAGAACAAGGAAGTACAAAGGCAAACATCTTACAAGAAAGAGTTACCATGCTAATTATCCAGTCTTTCAAACAAGATTGCATGAATCTTTGTGTCACATAAATAAGGAACAATCAACAACCTAAGAGTTGGCTCTAAGGAGTCTTACTTTAATGACTGGAAAAGCCTCTCTCACAACTGAACGTTTCAAGATTAAATGCAAAGTAAGACTGCATGGATAAAAGAATGAACCTCAGATACCTGTCCTGCATGTCAGAAGGGAGACTTTTCTGAAACTTGCAGCTCAGCCTATCTAAAAGCATGTCTCACAGCATGTCTTGCTGACACTGAGACTCCTACTTGCTCCTAAACAGATAGTGTGCAGAGTACGCCATTGTGATAGCTTCTGGACTGAAACTGAGCCACTTCACTCCTATTAACCCTATAGCTCTACCTGTCCAGTTAAAGACCCAGGATCTCTCACACAGCACAAGGCTGTACTTGGTCTCTCTCTCCTGTAGAAATGCAAAACATACTTATTATCACATAGGGAGCCATTATACATGAAGTACAACTTAAAACTAAAGGAGTATCTTCAGTCATGTACAAGAAGTATCTATAATGAAAAGGTTAAATTATATATTATGAAAGCCTGAAAAAACATGGGTCCAGTGGACAAAAAGAGTGTTGGCAAACAATCTAACTATATATACCTTCCTAATAAAATGAGAGGCGAGAAGCTGAAAACTTCTCAAGCAATAAAGCAACAGATACAGGTAAGTATTTCACTTTTTGCAGTGATAAGAAAGAAGTGAAGGCTGGTCAGGGCGATGCTCATTTATATATCCCAGGGTAGTGAAAGTTCCAAGCTTGTGTTTCAAGGACATTTACTTCATGTTAAGTGATAATTTAGTCAGGCAACAATTGAGAAGGAAAACACCTTTTAAAAAAAAAAAAAAAAAATCAGGAACATAATACATATTTGGGTAATGGTTGGCTGCTGGAGGAAAAACTTAGATGCCATCTGCTTACCTGTCAAATATCCTTGCCTCCTTCAGAACGTTCCCCAGATTGATGTAAGCATCCAGAAAATTTGGGTCAAGTGTTACAGCCTGCAGAATTTTAAAGAAAAGTAACTTATGCACCATGTTCAGTGCTTATACTATAAAATGTCACCCCCTAAAAATCCCAAAAGTTAAAATAGAAATGCAACCCCCACAGCACGAACAATCCTGAAAGAATCCCACAAACAAACCAACAAGCAAGAACAATTCAAAGTAATAATAATCTACACAATTTATCCCACTGCTTCCTGTTGAAAAGTGCTATACTGACACCATCAAAAATGAAGTCTTATTTACAACAGACTAAACAGTAATAATAAAACCATCTTTTACCGAATTCCACCTATGTCTGTGAACTAGGTTCTTTCCAACTTCATGCACATCAAAAATATACCAACTGAAGTTGGTTTACATAAATCTCAGTTTCTGTAACCTCCCTCTTCCTACTGTATCCCAACTGTTTATGATCATCGGGCAAGAGAGTAATACTACATCCTTATATGTTTCGTAGTTGGTAGGATCGGAAGGGACCCAACCAGATCATCAAGTCCAAACCCCCACCACGGCGGGAAAGAGGACTGTGGGCAAACGACCCTGGCAATCTAGCCTCCTCTTAAAGACCCCCAGGGTAGGAGCCAGCAGCACTTTTCTTGGAAGTTGGTTTCAGATCCTAGCCGCCCTGACAGTGAAGTAGCGCCTCCTGATATCTAGCCTGAATCTACCCTCTGCCAGCTTGTGACCATTATTTCTAGTCACTCCTGGTAGTGCTCAGGGGAACAGGGACTCCCCCAGTGCCTGCTGGTCCCCCCTGACTAGTTTGTAAACAGCCACTAGATCCCCCCTCAGCCTTCTCTTGTGGAGGCTGAACAGGTTTATATATCAATGCTGGAAAGCAGCTATGGTTTTACCAATAGTAAAACTAGGAAAATTTGGAACTGAATACCTTACAAGAACGCACGTATGAACAAATACCTTTCTACACTCAAATGTTTTTCCCTCCACTTTATCTTAATGCCCCAAAGACAAATTGCATTTTAGGTCAACTGTTTTACCCCAAGCTCAGCAGACCAATGATACCTGTTTTGAGAAAAGAAAGTTACTTACTAGTTACTGGAGTTCTTTGAGATATATTCTCCACATCCACAGTCTCACTGTAGGCATATATCATGTCTCTGAACTGCAAATTATGGTATGGCTACACATACATTTGGAGCAGTTTCAAAAGAGGAGCAGCTGATATGTTCCAATTCTTAGGTGCAGGCAAACTGAGAACGATATAAATGTAGCACAACCACCCCAATTTTAACCCTGGACAAAGCAGTATTGAAGTTGGAGTGGTTTTCCAACATTATATGGTTTCTGCTTTGACCACAGGTAATAACTAGAAACTGCAGCTCCCCTTTTGAAATGTTCCTCTTCTGAAACTGCTCCAATGTACATGTGCCTATACCCTCAGACCCACCCTTTTGCTTTCACAGTACCAGCACTGTGCATTCTTGGCCTGTCCCTCCTTGTGCCCTGTTCCAGGGGAATAAAGGGCAGAATACGCTTTCTGTATTTGACTCCAAAAGCAATAAAAAGGAGGGTAGGATGCATATGTTTTATGAAGTAGCAAGTAATGCTTTGTCTGCAAGAAACTGTCATCATATACACTCAATGCAAATGACTCCAGAGTAGTGCCACTTTTTGTATTCTGGGACTGGGTGAATAACAGTTCCTTATTTGTTTTATCTATGCCCTTCAGGATTTTATAGACCTCTATCACACATCCCCCCTCTCAGTCTTCTCGTTTCCAAACTGAAAAGTCCTAGCCTTTTCAGTTGCCCATCATTTGGCAAAGTTCAAAAGAATAAGACTGAAGATGTGATACTAGATTTTAGGTAAGTTTAGTCTGTCAGCTACTTGCACCATTCTTACTAGTTTTGTTACAAAAACTGTTATGTGAACTTGATATCTTCCATCCCTATTCTCTATAAATACCATCAGAGGATTAAAAACAACCTATAAAGTCTTGGGGACTAGGAAAATAACGTGTAGTTTAGCATCACGTGATTTTAGATCGTTAAGGATCTCAAGAGAAGAGCATTAACTTTTCAGATTATATTAATTAGGAGGTATCACGTAGGAGCAAGAACAGGAATTATAGATATTACTCTAAAGAACTTAGCACCCTGGAGAAAGATGTACAATATCTGTATGACATTGCTTTATTAAATTAATTTCTAAAATGCACTCCTAATGTTCTTCAGATACTAAGCAATGTTGACTAGAACAACTTTAGAATGTTAGATTGGCTTTTGGCAGGGAGGTATATCCAAATATTTACCTCTTATTGAGCAGCTAAAGAAAACAGTTTTTTCCCCCATAAGAAACAGGGATGGGAAAAGCCAAGTCACTTGCCATCTATTTCCAGAGCAGGATTGTTTCAGCTCCCCCTTCAATAGCATCTGCAAATCCTTACATGCGAGTAAGGATAAGTATGAGATTTTATGCTAGTAAGTAACTACCCAAAGAGTTACAGGTACAGACTCAAATATTTCTATCAACTAGTAAGGTGCTTATTACTAGGTAGACAATACTCATTAGAATACACTGCAGAAAATGACAGGCTTAAACAGTTACCTTTTCAAAATGATGAATGGCAAGCCAAATTTCTCCTTGAGCATTGAAAACGCAGCCAAGATTACTCCATGCTACTGCAAAGTTTGGTTGAGTCTCTATTGCTTTCAAATAACAGGCCTTGGAACAGTTAACGATAGATACAAGGGAAGGGGAATATTTGTAAAAAAAAAACAAAAAAAAAACAAAAAAAAAAACGAAAAAGGAAAAAAGAAAAGAAAAGAACGAAAAAAACGAGAAAAAGTAATTGTCAGTATTCCTTCTCCAACCAGCCAAAAGTGACCCTGCAGTATAGGCTAGCTTGCGCCAAAACTAATGCGCTGTAAACAGCTGCTGATCCTGCGCCAGCGCAAACCAAAACCCAGGTGCAAGCCCACCATTTCTCAGTTACGCTGATCTTTAGGTAACATCCCTTCAGAGACTAATTCACATCAGAAATGCACTATGTTTAGACAGACTAGGGCATTTTTCTTGCTAAATCGCATCTAAATCTAGCCTCTTTCATTATCTAGGATGTATCAAAATACTCTCCCACAAGCTACATGGTCTCCACTGAACAGACATCTTAAGTCAAAATAAGGGAATAAAATTCCTTCAAAGTAAACGAATAGTTCTAAAACAAAATCTAGAAACGGACTATTGAAAAAGCATGGCAGCCACTCTTGAATATTTAGCTGTCCTTACTACCAAAGGTCAGACGAAACATGGATGTTATGTCCTACCCTCCACCTCCTCTTCAATATTTATTTGCTAGGCTACCATCAGCCTCAAAACCTCAAATGACAGGATTGCATGAAGGTTTAGGTCCCTGTAATGCAAGCGCAAGAAATCGCTGGCGCATCCTAACAGCACGCCGCCACGCTATCGCTGCAAATTGCTGTGCTATGTATAACGCCCCTAGATACAGTGAACGGCCAACCAGAATCGTTAATCTACCAGACAGGTGCATGTAGAAACTCCCATGTTAAATTTGACATCTGGATGCTAAACATGTTACAACCCGATTTTATCCAAAAGGCTAGAGCCTGGAGCTTCAGCAGCTACCCAATCAGAGATTAATTATCGAGTCAACCGTTCACAAGGGCCTGATCGCACGCAACGCGCATTACCGCTGCGCAGCCTTTGCGCTACTGCAGGATCACAGCGCATCATCAGAAGAGCAGAACGCTGCAATCCAAACAAAGAAGAAAAAAAGGAAAAAAATGAACAACCAGAAGAGTTAGAAGCTTTTACTATTAACTATCGCCAATTATTTCTTTTTCTTTTCCTTTTTAACATTTTACTTTACTTTATTTCTTTGAAAGTATTGTGGCTAGTAGTATAAAACATTCTTACATTACATGGTTGTAAATAAAATATTTTAAGCTGTTTCTGAAGCCACAAGACAGAAGATTCAGGCATGGAGGCAAATGGTTTTGCTGTGGCAGTTACAAACCCGTTACCATATTTCTCATCATGTGACTTTTCGGTGCGTTCCTTGCTGGAAGAGGAGGAGGAGGTGTGTGTCTGCCCTAGATCCAGGCCTCGAGCTCCCTTCAGCGAGGCACCTTACGCATGGAATAGGAGGTTTCACCCACCTGAAACCTTCTAAATACAATATCAGTGGTGAAAAAACCAAAAACAAGAGAGAAAATAAAACAAGATCATTAGTAAAAGTTCAACAAAGCAATTGCAATTCTTTGGACATGTCTAACACATGGAAATGAGGACAATGTCTGTCTGTAACATGGGAGTCATGCAGAAGGGAGAGGGTTAATCAGGGCAACTGCATACAGCAAGGCTTTTTTTTTTTTTTTTTTTTTTTTTTTTTTGGAAGAAAGGCTCTGAAAGTTCTATAAAGAAATTCAATTTTAGTTCAAACAGTAAGGAACTTGCTGGTTTGATCTTTCAAATGCACTGATAACCAAAGAAATACATTGCAATTTACTCAAGATATTTTTCTTGTTTAATGAGTTCTCACAAAAAACAAAATAACACTTTCAAGCTAGGTGTCTCCAGAGCTCTGAAACAAAGAAGTCAGCAACCTAAGGCAGGCGCAGTGTCTTGGCCTATACCAGTCACACTAAAGCTGCAGTGAAGTGCAATTCATGTTAGCTGTCCGCTTGCTGGGCTGAGAACCAAGTGTCTTGTTATAAAAACATCTGCAATTTATGATTTGCTATTTAAGAATATTTGCAGCTCAGATTCAAGCGCTGAGTTATGCTGGCCTGTGAAAACATCTGTTCAAGTTGTGCATAGTTTATAAATTCTGACTTTGAACCAGCACTCCCATTACCCCATTAACAGATGGTACTTAAAAGTAATACCCCTCCCCAGATGGTACTGCAGCCAAACAGACAGCTACGCTGTTTATACACTCCACTTGTTAGCATGCGCGTGGGGCTTGGAGTGACAGACTGGGAGTCCAGAGTCATCCTGGTTTCTCCACACTCCTCACCCCTGCAGCGCGGACGCGTAAGGTGGCTTGTAACATGACAATTTCATTTTACAATCAGAGTTTTAATATGCCAAGAGCTTTAAACCCATTTTGGTGTTCAAATTGGCAGTTTGGTAAACGCAGACTGCTAGAAGCCACCTTTCCACTTTAGCAAGTTTTCTTTCGATCAGTTCATTTCCCAAACAAACCAGCTTTGTCCTTCTGATTCCTTTTTTTGGAAGAAAACATTTAAAAACAAGTTATTTGGGGAACCAAGTACTGAAGACAGAATCAGTTTCTAGCCTTTCTTCCACTATAAAAGGTGAGGGAAAAGGTTAAAGAATAAAATCTTTAAATGCCAATATTACAGGGTAACATTTGGATAAAATTCTTCTCCACTTACAAGCCACAAAGGACTTTAGAAGAGCAGCATTTTCAATAGCACCTGCATCGTATAGGGATCTTGAGCTAAAGAGGCTCTCTGCTTGGCACCAGCAGGCAAGCCTCAGATTTGAAGGCGTGTTATTTATTTCCAGATAAGAGCATGGTGGAGCCCCTGCCCAACACTTCAGAATGGTAACAGATAGTCTACTTCAGCAGAAGGAATCAGTAATGTTCCATTTCTTGTTTTAAAAACATTGAACATGGTCATGTCATATCTTGCCCTGCAACTACTCTGGGGCAATTCAGTGCCTTCAGTTTTCAGCAGTTTCTCGGACTGTTTGTAGATCAGCGCAGATCTGAAGACGGTGCAAAGTTCTAGTTTTCAAAAACACTGATGTTTAAATGTATTCTACCGAACACCTACCTTGGCTTCTTCCAAGCGACCCAGGGCTTTAAGCAGGTTCCCCAGGTCACTACGAACACAGTACAAGTCCTGAAAAATTAAAGCAAGGCTGTCAGCAGCTGAACTTGAGAATACGGAGGTCTTGCAAAAGACCCTGTCATTCTGTTAATGCCACAGTACTTATTCAGCAGCCTTGGTAACCAATTAAATCAGACTTAATAGCTTTTTTCTACATCTAAGATCACTGACATAGTGGATAATCATAATCAAACATTCCTAGTGGGAAAAATAAAACAGGAAAATTCTAACCAAGCTTTTAGTTTCATTTTTGCTTGACCAGCATCTTCTCCACTTCACCAAAAGAATGGAGATTTTCCTTCTTTTTATGAAACAGGCATCTAGCTGTGGTCTCAAAGCTTGTTATCTTAAACTGCACCCTAACAATTGTTTGATCTGCTCCAATACCTAATCAGACAGCAACTTGTTCTCTACAGCACAGTTTCCTTTCTTCTTTGTTCATTCTGAGGGCTGTCTCATTTCACCTACTTTGCGTGCTCTCTGTTTTGCTTTCACTTTTAACTGGAACTATGACTCAGAGGACTGCAGCATTACTATACTGGTAGCAGAAGGAAGAACCAGGCGGATGGAGGAAAAGATCTTGTGATGAACCCTCAGTAAAAGTTAATCAGCCTTGTAACAGGCCAAGTCATATAAATCTTTACTATTAAATAGTATCTGGCAGCACCCCTGAGAAGCACCTGGGCTTAGAGTTTTCTGAAATCTCAGCACACAAGACTTAAGTTTAACTAGTGAAATAATATGGAGTCAAGGTCTTGCTACTTTGATTTGTTCATGTGGCATGGTACAGAACACACAGTACAGAGATTCTTACCTCCCTCTAGGCCCATTCATTTTCTGTTTTACTCCAACAATGAAAAGAGTTTAAAGGTAAAAGATCTACCCATAACACTACAAGGGCGCACTACAAATGCTTCATCACCCATTTGACTACCACAACTATACCATTGGATGCTGGTTCTCTCTCTACAGCGATTTGTGCTATGCAACACATTTGATGAGCATAGTACAGGTTAAATAAAAGAGTGTGAATAATCTAACATGCTTTTTTGCCAGAACAAAATAAGCCTAGAACAGCAATTACATATCAAGAAATACATGATTAGCAAACTTCAAATATGGCTTATTGCTACAGTTTCAGCATTGCACACAGACACTTTCATCTAAGCGATGACTCTGAAACTCATGCTAAGCTTAGGCCTACTCACAAAAGTTAAAATACTGACGCTAACTGCATATTGCAAGAGGATGCAAGTTCATGGCTAGGCCATCTGAGAAGGAATAATGAAGCATCTCTTCCAGCTTATCTTGCTATACTCAGGATGATTTCAGGCAGGCTCTTAGTTGTCTGGTGTGTAACCATATGAAATGTCTATCCTTGATTAATTAGTATGGTAAATATTTCTTTTGCGACTAACTCGTGTTTATGTGCAGGAAGAGACATTCTCCATATGTAATAGATGTCTCCTCCTGATTTAGTATGTTTTTCCTGGCTGTTAATCATTTTCTTGATATGTTCCAAACTGGACAACCTCTTGTTACTGAAGAAGGAAACTCATTCAAACTAGAAATTTCTGATAACCAGTAATGAGCAGATTTTTCCTGTCAATTATTGCTTGGGACTCTCTCTTGATTTACACAACTAAAAGAATGCTTTGAAGATGCTAAACTAAGGGTATAAAAAAGGCAGCAAAACAGCAAACAGCGCGCGCTTCAAGAGTGAGAAATCTCTCTGACGCCGGTTGCTGATGTGCCTGACGAACTTGAGAAGTTGAGGAGAAACAGATCGCCTCTTTGTCGCCTGTTTGGTGAGAAATCATCACCTTATAGCTAATTACTGGACTCTGATTGGGTTTGGGTTCACTTGACTTGATTTTAAATACTTGTAGTAAATAAAGCCTCTCTGTCACAAACGAGGCGCTGTGTCAATCCCTGGGCTAGTCGAAAATCCTAGGTCTTTATTTGCTAACATACGGGACTGTCATCTATCCCTGCTAGATATTTCAACATCAAGTTTAAGCCTAGTAACTCAAATGGCTAAGTTTTCACCAACTCTTTTATACTGGAAACCAGTAATGAAAACTCTAAGCCAAAATAAAAATACTTTTTGCTATAAGCAAGCAGCAAAATAAAGCCAAATCTAAAAAGCAACAACAGCATTACTTGCTACTTTCCCTTATTACAAATAACTACATATAAAGGTTCCAAAGACCATTAGAACTATTGCAAAGTATAATTTAAAAGATTTTCAAAAGTTAAATGATAGTGCAACTTTCCCAATTCTCAAACCAGACATCAATTTCTCCTCATTCCCTTCCTGATTTCTTCCAATTAGGTCAAAAATATCAAGGTCAGTTTCAGATGAGAAAAGTCCAAGTGACAGGGCAGAGGGGGGACACCCATATTCCTGTCTTTGTTAAACCAATTACAAAGACAAGCATAGAACTAGCAGCATAACAGAATTCCAAGAGGAATGCATTCACACAGACAACTCAAACAAAGGATGAAATTACCTTTCAAGAATTACAAATAAAAGAGTTTTGAATTTATGAAGGTCACGCTTTAAGAATTACAGCCAAGGATGCATCATTAATTACTCTACAAGCACTTGCATAATCCGAAAGCAGACAAATCTGTCATGAAGTAGCAAACCTTCTTGAAGGTTAGGTTAAAAAAAAAGGGAACTCCATAAACAGTGTTACTTACAGGATTGTACTGAAGGGCAGACACATAGGCCTGTACTGCTCCTTCCATATCACCAGCAGCTACCAGTGCAGCAGCCAAATTAATATAGCCATCAATGAAATCTGGTTTGAGACGCAACGCATGTCTGTAATGCTCAATGGCTTCTTGCAGCTGCCCACGTTCCTTGTACACGTTTCCTAGATTCGAGTAGGCTTCGGCCAACAACGGGTTTTGTTTAATAGCCAAAGTGCTGAAGTGAGCAGACCTGGAGAAGATTAAACAGGTTAACACAAAAACAATTTTGTTTTCCAGTTACTGGGATTTACAGCCAAATACATAAAACAACTAAACCCAAGTTTCCAAACAATCCTGAAAATGGAATCTGGTCTAGCGCAAGATCAGTTACTCCACCCTCAGAGCACTGACAGTTTATATGAGAACTGAAGAGGAAGTACCTACTTTATGTAGAGTTTTGCAAGGCTTTTAGCATATGCTCAAGCCTAAAGCCAACTATCGTTCCAAAGGACATCGGGACTTCTGTTCACAATTTTCACCAACAATGGTCTCTGGAACACTGCATTCAACTTAGGTCCCTGGCAGACATTACACTTAAGATGCAATTAACTTGTTGATTGTAACTTAAATAGTAACCTAGACATTTGTTTAGGAAATTAATGGCATGATTAAACAGAAAATAAGCCACAAAATGTGTGTAATATTCTGTGGCTGGTGTCCATTACACCTTATACTGAATGGGCAGCAGCGCTTCCACTATGGAGCCTAACACAGGCTGCATGGCTGGGCTCTGGGACTGGCCTCAGTACAGTCCTACAGCTGGGACCTATAATGAACTGAATGCCAGTCTGTCTTGGGACTGTACTGGAATCTTGAACCAGCTCCATTGAGGTCCTGGGGCTGAGATAACAATCAGCTGATTCACCTCAGTTCATTAGGCACTTGCCTTACTACTTGCTAGTGTAAGGGGGAACCAACAAGTAGTAATTAATGACAGGGCTGGGATCTGATCCCCAATCGCAAAACCATGCGTCCTGCCATGCCACACGTGCAAGGCAGAAAGTGCAACTCTTGCAATGTGAGAACAGATCCATTTGCACCTTCAACTGAATGTGTGCCAGGAGCCTTAATTAACATGCTCCCTGCTTTCCTTTTAGGAGGTAACACGCAGCAAGGAAAACTAAATATAGAATGTGTTTCTCCCCACTGTACCTGGGAAATATTTTTACACTTTAAATAAGCTATGTAAAATGAATCCCAGTCATTAGGGTACTACATTTGAAAGCCTGTTTAAGTCTATCCCAGCCATGCAGTTGGTCCAATAAAAAGTTATCACCCACAAAAATCCTTGCCCCTCACATACTTCCTGAAGCATGATGGCTACAACATCACTCCAACACAACCAGGGACAAACACCTTGTGCTGCAGTCGAACAGCCAGTGAAAGTGGCACTAGCACGAAGGAACACCAAATAACATAAGTGCCTCTGAGTGCACCTAGTAGCTATACATGGCTAATTGTTGAATTCTGACACCTAGAAATCTTTTCTTCACATCATGTCACACTGTTAAAAGCAATCCATTTAAAGGAATATGTCTATACTCTTCGGTTACTTTAGGCACAAAAGCAAAGCTTTAAAACAGCTTAATAAAAACTGTTTCAAGGTTCCTTAGTCTGCCTTTTCAGAGCAGTTGAAAAAACATCTTCTAACTTCCATTCACGTAGTCTCTGAAACTCTGGAGAAGCAGGGGGGGCGGCACCAGATCTACATAGCCAACAACTGCAAACTGAGGACCTTTTCACCATTAAGAAAGTCCAGTAGAACCAGATTATGACTAATATGCTGATCCTCTCCATCATAAAGAAGCAACACAAATGAAAGTTTAAATAAAATGGAAGTTAGAATGTTATTTCTCACAGCTGCACAGCAGACTTCTCTTTTCATAAGCAATATACTGACAACACAAAAATATGAAGACACATTTCAAGTCCCTACCTGTCCAGCCTGCGACACTGGAAGTGAATGGACGACAGTAACAAAAGCACACCAGTATTATCAGGCTCTTGTCTCCAAAGCTGCATGCAATGTCTCTCTGCTGCTTCAAAGTCTCCTGCCTGATATTCACGATGAGCCAACTCCGCTAACCCTTGGAAGGAAAGCATACGTTTCGTTGGTTCTGGAGAATCACCAAAACATTTAAGGGGGGAAAACAAAAAGTTAGAAAACGGAAACAAAAAAGATGTAAAAATATGGTGTATAAAATTAAAGGATGAAAATGTTTGAAGCTACATAAAGCATGAGTGCCTGACACATTAAATGTCTATATCCTGAGCTCAGCCTAGTTTTAGTAATTTTCTAGCATTAACATGTGTGTTTAGTTCACAGTAGACAATTCCCTTCTCACTCTGTATTGGAAAGCATGCAAGAGTTTACAATCTACAACATAAACAGGATCGCTTATTTTCAGAAGCACTTCAGTCACCAACCCCTGCTTCCCCTTTGGTAAGGGTCAGAAAAATAAATAAGATACAAGCTACCAAATTAGTAAACAGATTTAGGGATATGACACAAAGGAATTCTTTTAAAGGGACTCTGGCAATATTTCATTTCCTTTTCATAAGAGGAACCTTGTTATGAGCACAGGTTGAATGTGCTTATCCTCTTACTTAAAGCTAAACCCTGTTTATAACATAAGCAGAGCATCCGATTTTAACAGATAGCTAAGCAAAACAGAAGGAACAGTAGATCTGGATTTCATGCAAAGAACTCAAGAAATAAGACAGAACAGAAATACAAACTACGTTAAAACAAATAAATTTGTCCCTACTGTCTTGCAGCGTGCACTATAGTCAGTGTTCTCTCAGGCCTTCAAAGAAAGGAGTAAGTAAAGACTTATTACATTTTCCAGTGCATAAAGCATATTTTGTCCCCTCCCTGAGGAAAGTCTACAATGAAGATGCTATCTGTACCAATTATGTAACACAAACTGTAATAACTAATAACTGTTAACAAAAATTAAATAAATACAATTGAAAGTTTTTCCCCCACAACTGGCACTTCATACAGTGGTGCATCTTATACCCCAGAATATATGGTATTCATTCTAAGTGGTTACTTAGGCTAGAAAGTGGGATTTAAAAGATTTCTTTTTAAAAAATACCTGTGCCCGAGACAAATATCATGCAATTCTACTTGGTCATAAAACCAAAGGCAGTTACCCGATACAGAAAAGACTTCTGGACTGAACACAGACACTATACTGTTAAGCAGAGATTAATCAATCCACTCATCCCAGAGAAAGTTTGCCCCAGTAAACTCCTTTGGAAGATACTGTATTATCATTATGACTCTCAGGATCATAGGACAGAAGCGCCAGAACGGACCTCACAAGGTCATCTAGTCCAAGCCCTAGCTCAAGGCAGGATCACCCCAGACTAAACCATCCCAGCCAAATGTCTTAAAAACATGCAAGGACAGAGATTCCACAAATTCTCTAGACAGCCTATTCCAATGCTTGACCACTCTTATAGTCAGAAACATCCTCCCAATCTCCAACCTAAATTCTGTCTGGTGCACTCCCCACAAGGAAAGCCAGAGTGGCGAGAGGTGCCAGGCTGTGCTGTCCCCTGGAACAGACTCAGGGAGAAGTGGGCGGGGCTTCAGCCAATTTCCAGAGAGCCACAAGTACCATGCCAGCAAGGCAGTTTGGCCACCGTTGGTCTAGCAGCTTCTCCAAATAATCCACACCATATTCTGCCATTACTCTAGGCCAGGTGGGTAAAATGGCAGATCCAGGCAGTAGCTGGACTCCATTTCCCAGCAGCCCCTGCCTGTGCTGCTCCCAGCCTGTCTCTATGGAGCAGTGTGGGCAGGAGCTGCTCCAGGACTGGGATCCTGCAGCAGTGACAGCACAGGGCCAGGGCCAATCTGCTGCCTACACAACCCATGCTCGTTGCAGGGGCATGCGGGCAGCAGGTTACAGCTCTGCCCTGCTTTCCCCCTCCCCCACCCAGATCCCATGGTCTCCCTGCCTCTGCTTGCCCGTCTCACTCCTGGCCACAGCCCCATTCCCAGCTGCACGAGTCCCAACCCAGCAGTGGATGTGGGAAGGATGGGCTGGGTTTGGCAGTGGCAACCAGCAGCTGCCGTTGCACGGGGCTGCTGGGAAATGGAGTCCACCGCGGGCCAGATTTGCCCACCCCTGCTCTAGGCTGTTTACCTCCTTCCTTACCTATTGCCAACGGTACTCATCATTTGATAGCTGCCCCTATATGTAAAGACTGAAGTAAAAAAGGCATTAAATACTTCAGCCTTCTCTACATCCTCCATAGCTAGACCGCCTTCTGCTTTCTGTAAGGGACCTATGATTTCTCCAGTCTTCCTCTTACTTTGGACACACTTTTTACTGCCTTTTATGTCCCTTGCCAGCTGCATTCCAAATTGTGCCTCAGCCTTCCTAATTTTCTCCCCGCAAGCCTGTGAGGCACAATTTGGGATGCAGTTGGTATAAGTAGTACTGTTATACTCTTTCCTAGTACTACGACCAAGTTTGCACTTCTTACAGGATTCCTTTTCGAGTTAAACTCAGAGAAGAGAGTGTAGTCTAGTCAGGCTGGTTTCCTGTTTCACATCCCATTCTTCCATCGCATTGGGATCGCTTGCTCTCAGGCCCTTAAGAGGGCCTCCTTGAAGTACAGCCAGCTCTCGACTTCTTTTCTCCTTAGACTTGCTTCCCAGGGGATCCTGTTCACCAGTTCCTGTTAAACTCCAGTGTCCTTGTTCTGCTGCTCTCCTTCCTTCCTCCACTTAGGATCCTTTAAATCCATCATTTCATGGATGCTGTCACCAAAGTTACCTTCCACCTTCACATTCTCAACCAATTCCTCTGTTTGTGAGCAGCAAGTCAAGAACAGCTTCCCCTAGTTGGTCCCTTTACTACCTGTATCAAAAAGTTATCCCCAAAACTGCAGCAATTTGATGGACTGCTCATGCACTGCTGCGCTTCCCTCCCAGCAGATATACCAACAATTTAGAGTGCCCATGAGAAACAAGTCCTGCAATTTGGAACCTCCTGGTTTTGGAGGCCTGGTTTTGGAGGTAACCAACACCCACCATGACATCTCACCCTACTGCTGTATCGTGACCTTCATCCAAAGGCTTGCAACAGGCCTCCCTTCCAGTTTGTGCCGCATTTCCAGAGACATGCACGTCTTCTCTACATATACAGCAACACCTCCTTTCTTCCCTCACCGGTCCTTCCTGAACAGCTGATACTCAGCCATGACAGTATTCCAGTCTTGTGAACTATCCCACCACATCTCCATAATCCCAATTACATCTTAATTCTGTGTTTGTACTAGGACCTCAAACACTTCCTGTTTGCTCCCATACTTCTCACACTGGCGTATGAATATTTCTGGTACCTGTCTATCCTATCTCCGCCCCTCCCCCCCAACATTGCTACAGCGTCTGTAATTGCTTCCCCTTACTAGGTTTTCATCCAGGTCCCCAGCCTCTTCCCTTACCTCTGGACTTTTGCTTTAGGAAACAAAAGTTTAGACAACATTTTTATTTCTGCTGTTTACTTTTGGCATTTTCGTTTCAGTTACCCCAATAAACATTCCTAGCCTAACTTGGCTGTTGTTTCAAGGCATGAATATAACGCTGGAAAATCCTCTACAATATAAGAGACCTCAAATGCAGGGTATTTCAGCAAAGTACTTATGTACTACAGAAATTCCAGAAAGTTCATTTCCCCTGCATGTGTGCAGCTCTTCACGTACAAATAGGACACACTTTGAAGTGGACAGTGTGTGGAGGCTGGGCACTGCAAAGGGCATCAGGCATAGTATCTGAAGCCATTTATTCATTTATAATCAACTATTTTAAACTGATGGTCTTTGTTTACCTCTATTAAAATGAGCTTTCTAGTTCATACGTGGAGATAAACTGAACTCTTTATTTTTTCCAAGACTAAACTGAGGACAACTCCAGCGCATCTCCTGCTGTTCATGCTTTGCCAAACTACAGGTACAGTGAAGTCTGCACAGCTTGGGAAAATGTTGAGAAGAGGATGGGCCTGAAACTATACCAGGAAAAACCAAAAACTAAGGGCAAGTGTAACACCATTTCCTATCAGATCTACTCGCTGCAGGCCCTGATGAAGGCCAGATTTCCTGAGAAGGATCACCATTCTTAGGACCTGGAGCTGAGAGGGGAATGACGGCTCACTAAATCACTGTCATCATAACCTTCCTCATTCTTTTCTCTCCTTGCTACCGCTGGCCCAGATGTCATCCTTTAGACGGTTGGTATCCAGTGCGTCATTTAAAGTTCTCTTGTTAAGCAGTCCCCCACTGCTGAAGATGCAAAACCACAAAGAAAATGAAGCTGATGCAAAATAAGCCATCTTCCTCGTTCAGTATCTCTCTCAATATAAGCTAACAGCGTATCAACCTGCCAGATGACTGGCCATACACGCTATTCGGGTAAGAAATAAGCATCGCCTTATAATACTTAACCTGAAAAGTCAAGTGCAATGTTAAGATGAAAAATGGAATAGGAAGACAGCAACAGATATATGGAAACAAAGTAAAGATGCTCTATTTTTATCTGTGAAGAAAGGGTGTTTTTTTTTAGTAAAGAACAGATGAAACGTCCCCTCAGGACTGACTTTGTTGAGTCCCTTGCAAAAATAAGAAGCCACAATGAGGCCAGATCCAGAGAACGAAGACCTCCAAGCCTGGCCAGCACCCGGGCCGCCCCTG